TCTTTGACTTCTCCAGTGCTTTCAACACAATCCAGCCGTCACTGCTGAGGGGGAAGTTGGACAGGGCAGGTGTGGACCAACACCCGTCTACATGGATCATTAACTACCTCACAAACAGACCTCAGTTTGTCAGGCTGCGTGACTGTGTGTCGGACGTGGTGGTCTGCAGCATGTGGGCGCACCAGGGGACGGTGCTTTCCCCCTTTCTGATGTTGGACGTGGTGGTCTGCAGCATTGGGGTGCTCCAGGGAACGGTGCTTTCCCCCTTTCTGTTTACCCTCCCCACGTAACACTTCAAGTACAACTCCCACTGCTGTCACCTACAAAAGTTCTCTGATGACACCGCCATTGTTGGATGTGTATCTGGGGGATACAGGGGGGTTGTTAATGACTTTGTGAAGTGGTGTGAGGAAAATCGACTGGTCCTGAACACCAGTAAGACTAAAGAGATGGTTATTGACCACACAGTAGAGGCTCTGAACAGTTCCTTTAGCACAAGACTGTTACATCCCCAGTGTAAGAAGGAACGTTACCGCTCCTTCTTAGGTCGTTCCTCCCCACAGCAATCAGACTGTACAATACATCACTGCAGGGATAGGTTAGGTGAAAGTATGAGGGACCATGTAATAGTCAACTGAGGTGCAATACTCAAATCCTGGGTTAAAAAGCATGGTTAATGTGTACATATGTAAATTCTGTTCTTGATTATTCAAATACTTGATTCTGTCTATTTTAGAGTACTTGGAATTTATTTATCAGGATGTGTGTGTCATGCTTGTTCTCATGGTGTTATGTTGTTTGTTCTCCATTGCTGCTGAAACACTGAAATTTCCCCATTGAGGGATCAATAAAGTACCTACCTAATGGTGGTGTCACTGAGGCACCCTGGGACACTGCTGAGACATTACTGTACATTATGCGGTGATGGTCCTAATAAAGTCACATTAACAAGGTTTAACAAGTTTTTTCCCCTTAAATGTCTGAATGATGGTTCCCTCACATTTCTTACAGCCCTCATGACTTTACTGCTATACTTTTAGCCATTCTAGCAGCATAGTTCAGTGCATGGTTGCTTTGACCCAGACTGAAATAGCTCAACAACTATTGGATGTGACATGAAATTTTGTACTAACATCTTAATGACTTGTTTAGTTTGTCTCTACAACTATGGGATGGATTGCCATTAAATTTGGTAAGATCTTGCATTGAATTGAAATAACCCTAACTGCCCTGTTCAGGATAAGTGGTATAGATAATGGATGGATGGATTCCTTAACTTTTTATGCAATGGTTTGCCAGTTAAGCTTTACTTTGTGCTTAGTACTAATTAGCAAAAGCTAAACTACAGTGGTATATATGTTAACATTGTACCTGCTTAACAACTCTAACATGTTGACATTAGCATGTAACATCACTCAAAACATTGCTGTGCCCAAGTACACCTTCACAGAGGTTCTAGCACAGCTTTAGACTCTTAGTTTTGTTTTCCCCGTTAGCCAGAGCCAAGCTTCTCTTCCTGGCTTCTTTCTCACTGAGTTTAAAGTTGACCTGTCAGAAAGCATACTGATGAATGCTAGCCTTCCATGAGGACTTAAAAAGGTGTGCAAATCTGAGGACATCCTCTCCATCCATCCATTGCCTATACCACTTATCCTGAAGAAGGTCAGGGGGGCTGGAGCCAATCCCAGCTGTCACTGGGTGAGAGGCAGTACACCCCGGACAGGTCGCCAGTCTATCACAGGGCTGACTCTTAGAGACAGACAGCCACACTCACTCCTGGGAGCAGTTTATAGTCACCAATCAGCCTAAACTGTGGGAGAAAGCCAAAGTACCTGGATAGAACCCATATAGGCACAGGGAGAACATGCAAACTCCACACAGAAAGGCAGCAGGGTGGCTGGGGCTCAGACCCAGAACCTCCATGCTGTGAGGCAGCAGCACTACCCACTGCCCCACCATGCCACCCCCATCCTCTCAACAACAAAGGTCCAGCTGCTAAGACAGTTCAAATTTCATTTTCAGTCAGCTGGCATATTGGATTAATTCATGGTGGAATCTGGTGTCTATTATATCGTCCCATTGTGGAATAGCATTGACACTGACAGTCAGTTTTAATTGAGATAATGAAGGCTCTGTGATTCTTCATTACTTTTGGTTTCTGGTGCATAATTGCATTTCACCTCTGCCAGTTAGCTGGCTGAACTCTTCTGTCCATGTGTGAGAGAGAAACAAAAGGAAAGGCAGATGAATAAACAGATGGCATAAGAGAATGGATAGAGAGACAGAGAAAACAGCAAACTGAACAGAAGACAAATAGACTTAATTTAATTGTGAGGAACACTCTGGATGAATCTATTAAAGTTGTTCTGCATTGACCTTGGTGTTCCCTGATTGACTGCACAGAGTGAGCATAAAAATATGATGCTCCTGTCTCTTCCCCAGTGCTTGGTCAGTCAGCATCCATCTGCATGTGGGAGAATTACAGGCGTTTTCCACCAGTGTCGCTTTGAATGTGTAAAGCATGGCATGCAGGGATAGAAATATAACTTTATCTTTATCCCCTAAATGTATGCAGGGAGGTTTGATTGAATGCAGATCCACACTGTAGACTTGCTTCCAGTGACCAGTAGCAATAGCATTTAGGAGGAAAGGGAAAAACATGTTTGGAGGATTATTGCATGTTATTGATTCCTTATCAAAAATGCTTGGAGAATTATTGCATGTTATTGATTCCTTATCACTCTGTATATTATCTCATCTACATTGTAGTAAAATTGGGAAGAAATTACTCTGCTCTGTTGGACCTGCACCTCTGTACAGTCAGTTTGCTATTAGTGAATTTAAGCCATATATTATAATTAGGGGATGATTCTTGTAGCTTTCAGTTTCCTGCCTGTCTGTGGGGATTTAATCTAGTTTTTGGTGGTTTAATACATTGTAATAATTCAGCGCCCATCAGTGAGGGGGCGGATCATATGTTTAGCATAGTGTTAGCAATGCAAGTGCCATGGTTCTATGGATGGTAGTATAACTTGGTCACCCACTCTGGTCTAGACTGAAATATAACAGCTATTGGATTACGATACGTTTGATACAGACTTTAATATTCAACAATCAAAATGAATGACTGTTATCATGCCAACACGCTAAACTAAGACGGTGAACGTGTAAGCATTGTCACCCTGAGTATGTTAGCATTTCGCTCAAAGCACTGCTTCTGAGGATTTATCACAGCAGCAGAAATAGAAAGTTCACTGGGAATGTCCATTTGTCTGTATAGACCCTAAGTCATTTTAAAACACTTTGCTGTCTACTTTTTGTTCCTCCTATCATTATCACCTTTTTTCTAGACTGACAGTAAAGGAAATTCTTTTAACTTGTCCCTGGCATTGAGGTCCAGATGCCAGTGTCAGAACAGCATCTTTGGAGCTGGTACCGACACTTCCCTGGGAGGGAAGCTTGCTGAGTCAACTTTTTATGTGCATAAGCTTGGCATTATTGACTCGCCAACCAACATAATAAGTGAACAATCCAGCTAAAGAAGGACCTTCTCAGGTAACACACTTGAACATGACCTACTTACTTGTTTGTTGATTCTGTCTAGTCATCAATATCACTTTACTGTAACTCCCTTAATGTTCCTCTACACACACAAGCAACCCTTACCTCGTAGATTGCGTATGAAGTCCTCCAGTAACATCTTGCGGTCTGGCTTGATGTTGGGACTGTACATGTCGGTGTTGAGCAGAATGATGGCAAAGGCCAAGATGAAGATAGTGTCTGGGTTGTGAAATTGCTGCACCACATCAGGGTTGCACATGCAATACCTCTGGCTGTTGGTGTAAAGGAGGTAGAAAAAGACCAGGGTTAAAATGCTAGGAGAAAGAGAAATACTGAAAATGGTATTAAAGATGGGACAGTGTGTGAAGAAAAAGAATAAAGGAGGGTAAAGTTGAAGTAGAGGGATGAATGGTTATAGATGGGTCATGCCAGAGGGACAGTAGGATGTTAGAAGAATAAATGAGTACAGTTAAGAGGACTAAAAGCATCCTTCAACACACAAAGTGCTCATAAATGCCTCGACACAAGCTGAGCACGAGAGCCTCAAAATATGAGTTATGGCTTTATCTGTGCTTGTTGCTTCATGTGATGCACTTGGATGCCCCTTAGCAGCAGCGAACCTCAGCCCTTCTGAAGCGCAGTCTCTCTGTTTGAACACATTTGTCCCACTGGATTGGATGTCTACAGGGTGGTGGATTACATAGAAAGTTAAGTGACTGTGGGTGCAAAAAGCCAGTCTTTACCCCCTGTGATTTGTCATCAGCTTCTAATTGTTTTCCTTACCAAATAATCTCAAAAGTTCAATCCTGCACAGACTACTCAAAATGCTGAAAAAGTCTGCTAAGTCATTAGCCATAGTTAAACATTCTCTAACATTTATGTGCCTGGTTGCTGCATTTATAGTATTCAGGTTGTTATTGTGCCAGAGAAATATAAGGACTCTGATGCTTCACATCTCGGTTTTCTCAGGTAACACACTTGCACATAACCTGAGAACATGACCTACTTACTTGATTGTTGATTTTGTCTAGTCATCAGTATCACTTTACTGTAACTCCCTTAATGTTCCTCTACACACACAAGCAACCCTTACCTCGTAGATTGCGTATGAAGTCCTCCAGTAACATCTTGCGGTCTGGCTTGATGTTGGGACTGTACATGTCGGTGTTGAGCAGAATGATGGCAAAGGCCAAGATGAAGATAGTGTCTGGGTTGTGAAATTGCTGCACCACATCAGGGTTGCACATGCAATACCTCTGGCTGTTGGTGTAAAGGAGGTAGAAAAAGACCAGGGTTAAAATGCTAGGAGAAAGAGAAATACTGAAAATGGTATTAAAGATGGGACAGTGTGTGAAGAAAAAGAATAAAGGAGGGTAAAGTTGAAGTAGAGGGATGAATGGTTATAGATGGGTCATGCCAGAGGGACAGTAGGATGTTAGAAGAATAAATGAGTACAGTTAAGAGGACTAAAAGCATCCTTCAACACACAAAGTGCTCATAAATGCCTTGACACAAGCTGAGCACGAGAGCCTCAAAATATGAGTTATGGCTTTATCTGTGCTTGTTGCTTCATGTGATGCACTTGGATGCCCCTTAGCAGCAGCGAACCTCAGCCCTTCTGAAGCGCAGTCTCTCTGTTTGAACACATTTGTCCCACTGGATTGGATGTCTACAGGGTGGTGGATTACATAGAAAGTTAAGTGACTGTGGGTGCAAAAAGCCAGTCTTTACCCCCTGTGATTTGTCATCAGCTTCTAATTGTTTTCCTTACCAAATAATCTCAAAAGTTCAATCCTGCACAGACTACTCAAAATGCTGAAAAAGTCTGCTAAGTCATTAGCCATAGTTAAACATTCTCTAACATTTATGTGCCTGGTTGCTGCATTTATAGTATTCAGGTTGTTATTGTGCCAGAGAAATATAAGGACTCTGATGCTTCACATCTCGGTGTCTGAAAATTTGACAGCAACCAGTAATTATACCCTTGTGTGCAAATCCTAATGCAGCGCAATGCAGTCGGCAAAAAAACAAAATTTATCCTGCTTTCTGTCTTGAGTGTGCTCTTACTCTTCACAGAAAGATGTGGAAAAAATGACTAACCAAAAAACAACAAAGAGATGGTAAAAAGACACATGATAGATGGATTTGGCAGTCTTTGAATTTGCCAATTGCTGCCGTTTTTCAAACCCGTTATGCGTTTGTTACAGATCGCTAAAGATGCTATAACTCATCAGTCATTTTTTTGCAAGTTGCATGATCTTCATTTATGTCATTATTTTGCAAGTTGCATGATCTTCATTTATATTAACAATCATATATAGAGCAAGTGCACAAACCACAGTGCCTGTATGTGGATCCAGGATGAGTAAATAAGGATATCTAGATACTACACTGAAATGCAGACATGAAAATATAAACTACATCTATCTGCAGCACTGGGAGTTGACTCATATTTGCTTGTTCATTAGTATACTGACGCAGCAGATATGGAGGCTGCTGGCTGCTGTTCACTTTCTCCCCTCACTCTTTTTCATTGCTGCTTCAAATCCCCTTCACTTAGAGATTTCTGTCTTTCTGTGTGTGTGTGTTTGGAAGCATATCAAAGCCCAGCGGCAGGGGAGCTGGGCACAGAGAGGCAATGGCAGTTACACAACGCTGGTTATTTATAAACCTTCCTCCCTCTTTTTCTCCCCTTCCTCCGTTGCTTTCCCAGTTCGTGTCTCTTCACCTCCCTCCCCTCTCTCGCTCCTGATAACACGCAGAGCCAGCCTGACGCCCAAACATTACCAGTGCCAACCTTTCGGCCCACTGACTATGACAATGCTGGTGTTTCTCTTTTCATTGGGCAACTCGACAACTGTGACAGGTGGTGGTTACTCCAGAGGCGTTAGGGTAAACAGTTAGCATTAACACACAGTGCCACAGCTGCACCGCAAATTGTCTCCCTGTCGCAAATTCTGGCCTGAAATTACTTGCTGCCCCGACCATTCAGATGCAATGTCAACATTTTATTATAGCCAAGCAGAAAGGAAAGAATAAAACAACAGTGTGTATTTACTGGCGTGAGGCAGTGTGACTCAACTATTTAGCTCAAATGGGTATTAGAAACAATTCATGGTTATTTGTGTTAACCTATTATAAGTGTATGACTTCTCCAGTAGTCCTTGGATATAGCAGATGTTACTATATGTGTGCATGTGTGCCCTTCAGCATGAATGGCTATCAGTGTTGTCACACTAGTATATTTTCATATTCTGTTTTTGTCCAACATAGCTGTACAGTACTCCTGGAAAAGAAACAGGAGCCTGAGCTCATATCTAATGCAAACAATAAGTTCATATTTGCATTCAGAACTTGAGGTAGGCATGTTTCATGATCAAAAAACCTGGGAAGTGCATCTCAAAAACAACAAGACATTTTTGGCCTAGAGGTAATTCTTGAGTGACAGTAATTCATTTTACTTTTCACCCACACAAATATCAACACACCCAGAGTCACATTGCAGTAGAAAGTAAATGGCACACCATTAAGACAAATGAGGGTTATTTTGCATAACTTGCAGTATTCTGGTGCTTTCTAGCATCTGTTTTCTCAACACAACAATGTTTATGAATATCTGCAAATTTGTCACACACGGTCACATCCCTGATTCTTGCTTGTTTGTTACTGGCAAGTGACTCTTCCCATGTTCATTTCATTCTCGCACAGCACCCTCATCATGCACTGTGGTTTTTAATAATTTTTGATACATTTGGTGCTTGATTTTAAACAGGTAAACAAATCCAGGCTTCTAATTGTGTTTGGCAAAGGTAACGCTGTCACACAAATTTGGCTAGGATTGCTGTACTGTAAACTTCCCCAAATTTGTTAATCAGAAAATAACCACTAACATAATGTTTAAACTCACAAAATAATGTTGAATAAAATGCCTTTGGCCCTGGAAGTAAAGTGGGGCTGCTTACTATAAGCTAGTTCACTCAAAATGCTAATGTTTGTGGCTTATGCAGGAGCTGACAGAGTTTTTAGTCCATTCATTACACTTTTAACAGTCATTTGAATCCCATAAGAAACCATACCATATATATGGAAGTACAGCTAGATAAACCAAGATTACCACAGCAATTAATTGTTTTTATAAATACCTGAAGGCCTCAATAAGACGTTCAACCTTCTGAGCTTCTCCCTGGACACGAATGTGGGCCTGAAACTTCCTCAGTGCTTCATCCAGCTCCATGCCTGAAAAGTCCATCTCATCCACTACACAACTGTGGAGTACAGAGAGGCAGAAAGAGCAAGAGGAGTAGAAAGGAAGACACAGGAAGAAAGGAATATATTTCATCTGCAGCAGAATTCATTGCATTATGTCAGCATGATGACAGTGGCTGCCCCTTCAGTGGTGGGATAGGTGATCCTATGGATAGACAGCCAAGATAAAAGATGCAGAAGTCTTACTCATCTGCTTCCTGGTCACAGCACCACCCCGCTTACAGCAGGTAATGCCACACAAGGACACCAGGGATAAGACTAGGCCCTGCTATTTTCTCTGTGCCACAGCTGCCAACACACACACGCATGCAGTCCCTTCCGAGCAGAAAATCTTCCTATTACCTGACAACCCCAGCTTAATGACTAATTTAAAAAAGCAAAATATCCCGTTCAGTGAGTTCATAGGGGGGATAAATACAGAGCAGGCAATTTGTAGGTGAGATGAGGTTTGGAAGTGAAAGGTGACTTTGGAAATGAGTTTGGAATTTGTAAAGTTGTTCTTGCTTTGAAGTGAGGTGTTCTGTCTGGGTGCAAAGTGGAATGATAATCAAACAACAAAATTAGTCTCAGTCAAATCAGTATTCAAATGGCTTACTCCAACTAGTTGAAGCTAACCTGATCTTTGCATCTGTTCTACGCAGCCTAGTGGTTGTTTTGGACAGCATGTTCAAAAAAGAGATGATGCCTTAAATGGTAAATGGTAAATGGACTGTATTTATATAGCGCATTTTTCCACAGTGTGTTGCACTGGCCAAAGTGCTTTACAGGAGATGATACACCATTCACCAATTCACACACAGCATTCACACACCCATGATGCCTTAATACAGTATATACAGTATTGTTCAAAATAATAGCAGTACAATGTGACTAACCAGAATAATCCAGGTTTTTAGTATATTTTTTATTGCTACATGGCAAACAAGTTACCAGTAGGTGCAGTAGATTCTCAGAAAGCAAACAAGACCCAGCATTCATGATATGCACGCTCTTAAGGCTGTGAAATTGGGCAATTAGTTGAAAGGGGTGTGTTCAAAAAAATAGCAGTGTCTGCCGTTGACTGTACAAACACAAAACTATGTTGTACAAACGTTTTTGTTTCTAGGATTTAGCAATCCTGTGAATCACTAAACTAATATTTAGTTGTATGACCACAGTTTGTTATAACTGCTTCACATCTGTGTGGCATGGAGTCAACCAACTTGTGGCACCTTTCAGCTGTTATTACACTCCATGATTCTTTAACAACATTCCACAATTCATTTACATTTCTTGGTTTTGCTTCAGAAACAGCATTTTTGATATCACCCCACAAGTTCTCGATTGGATTAAGGTCCGGGGATTGGGCTGGCCACTCCATAACATTAATTTTGTTGGTTTGGAACCAAGACTTTGCTCGTTTACTAGTGTGTTTGGGGTCATTGTCTTGTTGAAACAACCATTTCAAGGGCATGTCCTCTTCAGCATAAGGCAACATGACCTCTTCAAGTATTTTGACATATGCAAACTGATCCATGATCCCTGGTATGCGATAAATAGGCCCAACACCATAGTAGGAGAAACATGCCCATATCATGATGCTTGCACCACCATGCTTCACTGTCTTCACTGTGTACTGTGGCTTGAATTCAGAGTTTGGGGGTCGTCTCACAAACTGTCTGTAGCCCTTGGACCCAAAAAGAACAATTTTACTCTCATCAGTCCACAAAATGTTCCTCCATTTCTCTTTAGGCCAGTTGACGTGTTCTTTGGCAAATTGTAACCTCTTCTGCACGTGCCTTTTTTTTAACAGAGGGACTTTGCGGGGGATTCTTGAAAATAGATTAGCTTCACACAGACGTCTTCTAACTGTCACAGTACTTACAGGTAACTCCAGACTGTCTTTGATCATCCTGGAGCTGATCATTGGCTGGGCCTTTGCCATTCTGGTTATTCTTCGATCCATTTTGATGGTTGTCTTCCGTTTTCTTCCACGTCTCTCTGGTTTTGCTCTCCATTTTAAGGCATTGGAGATCATTTTAGCTGAACAGCCTATAATTTTTTGCACCTCTTTATAGGTTTTCCCCTCTCCAATCAACTTTTTAATCAAAGTACGCTGTTCTTCTGAACAATGTCTTGAACGACCCATTTTCCTCAGGCTTTCAAATGCATGTTCAACAAGTGCTGGCTTCATCCTTAAATAGGGGCCACCTGATTCACACCTGTTATTTCACAAAATTGATGACCTCACTGATTGAATGCCACACTGCTATTTTTTTAACACACCCCTTTCAACTAATTGCCCAATTGCACAGCCTTAAGAGCGTGCATATCATGAATGCTGGGTCTTGTTTGCTTTCTGAGAATCTACTGCACCTACTGGTAACTTGTTTGCCATGTAGCAATAAAAAATATACTAAAAACCTGGATTATTCTGGTTAGTCACATTGTACTGCTATTATTTTGAACAATACCATATAGAATGTAGTGGTACACAATAGGAAACACTGAGGTACGTGCACGTGCATACATACTACATTAAGATAAGGTACTGTGAACAAAAAAAGTTTAAAATGTTAAGGAGGTACTTGTATTACATTGTTTTCAATGTCATATAGGGCACAGATGATTTACAAATCACTATTTTCAGTTTTAATTTTGATTATACCATCCCAACTTTTTCTTATTTGGGGTTGTACACTACTACTACCACAGCTACTACAATTGCTGTACATTTAATACCACTACTTCGGTCACTATTACTCTAACTACTACTGTTACAGCTGTTACTGTTTAGCAAATTCTACTCACAGTATAGTATAAAAAGAGCACTCAGAGAGCGCATGTACCTCCACCAAGGCACAGCATTCACGCAGATGGGTCCCTTGTGAAAAATGAGATCCAGAAGAACACAAAATGTATGCTAAAATCCTTGATCTGGATCAGATCCAGATCTTCTTTTAGGGTAGATAGGCAGTTACGTTGTGCATCTTACCTGAACATTTCAGCATTTTATCTTCATTATAGGCCAAGTTATGGCAGAAAATATGAGTTACATGGGGGTTTCAGTGTTAACTTCAAATGGCTATCAGATCCAGAATCTCAATCAGATCCAGATGAAATTTGGTCTGGTGATAAACATTGCCACCCTACATACTTTACACATACATCTTTTTCTATCACAAACACAACAATGTACTGAATGATGTAACTTCTAACACTCAGCTTAGAGAGTTAAGTTAAACTGAGTATTGTTGTCTGGGGCCATTTTCAACACAGTGCTCAGAAAGGTATGCATATAGACAGTGAGCCTGACTTGATTCTCCAGCTCTCTTGACTGTTAAGCCTCTGTGATCAGCCGGTTCATGATTCATGTCCTTGCAACACCACCTCTCTCTATTCCTCCCCAGCTGTCTCTCCTTGTTTATATAACAGCAGATGAGATGCTCTCTAGCCAAAGTGCATCAGTCCTCTCCTTCCCCTCCATTTCTTTCCTATATACACTCAGACATAAAAACGCATGTACATATACTGTAATCGTGCATACACTTGTTGATCTGTATAGCATATGTAGCAGGGAAATAGACACATCTGTCTCTACAGCATAGCTTAAATTATGTTTTCAAAGCTCTGGTGGCAGGTAGACACGTACGCATGCAAGAAGAAACAGCAGGCCAGATGGAGCCATATTTTGAGCAGCCAATGAGTAGATGACAGACTGAAAACAGATCCCATTTTTCCTACTAAATAAGTACACTATATTATCAGTAAACAAGCCGTCAGATTGCCACATCTTTTGGAACCCAAATCTATAACCGCAATTTGGCTTAACTGGCTTGAGACATTTTAACTATTGTTGTTTATGCTTGAATAAATGTGAAGCGAATGAGGCACCATAAGGAAAGGAAGAAGATTCAAGCATACAAAAGGCTAACAACAACAACTCAACCCAAACACAAATATAGATACACCCTTCCTATACATGCACACACAGAAGTCACATGCTTTCACACACTGACACACACATCGGGGCTTGGTACAGTAAATCACCGTGAATGATTCTCACATTAGACCGCAAACTTTTCAGCCTCCCTGCTGATTTACACTTCATCACAAGTGCTGTGACGCGCACTCTGCACTCTGCACGCTGTCATGTCCCTCTTCAACATCACTTCCGCCACAAGTGCTGCTATGTGACAGCACTTTTGGAAAATGGAAAAAATAAATGTGTACTTGGCCTAATGTCGCCTGTGCTGCTTGTAGTTTGAAGCCCTAACAGCAGATGAGTGACCTGAGGTCAACAACTTGGCACAGTGCTATGTCATGTTTGTCTGACCTTGCGACGAATGAAAGTGCATTCTCAGTTTGATAACTTAGACAAAAGGGAGGGTCAAAGAAAGTTCTGCACTACCTCCTTTGGCTGATATGCAAATTTAGAGGTAATTGGTGAATTGCAGGATGTAATGGAATAAAAAAGACAACTACTGAGATAAAGTAAGGAAGGTGTTGAAAGATGGAAATGTCTGTGTGGGAAAGGGAGAAATTCCTCTACAGTTTCGAAGCAAGTAACTGCAAGCAGGTTAATGACCTTGAATGAAGCTTACAAGTTGAGGCCAGTCATGTGTGTGTGCGAGTCTCTTATTGGATGAGTAATATTTATCTCAAGATTTAAAAATACCTCATACATTTCATATCTCTGGCAGTGTAGTTCTGGAAAAAAATGTCTATTGGCAAATTTATGCAGCTTCTGTGAATTATTAAGATTTTGAATTATTATGTGGACAAAATATGCCTGTACACAAATACTACAAAACCTTCAAGTTCGGCTTGATGGCTTGACATAAAATAAAATAAGGTTTACCACATAAAAGTCAGTGTACTAACTATGAGGAGCACTACTGTGAAAAGTGTGAAACTATTACTATTAATATCAGTCACATTATTGGGGCTGTAGGATCCAATGTTTTGAAGTTTGCCCCATGCTTGGGTCTAAATGTTGAGCTATCACAGAATAGTTAAAAGGCCAGATCTGGTCTCCAGGTTGCATCTTGGGAAATGTAGGAGCTAATATTTCTGGGGTTAATCCCATTCTGTAGGGCAGAAGTAGAGAAACTGTGTCAAACACTAATGCTAAGGGTTTAAAGGACCTTTATTTATATACTAATACTACACCTTGTTGGCTGTTCTTCTGATGCTTTGCCATTATCTGGCCTTGTAAGACAATAAATACACACAAGCCTGGGATGCTTATATACAACAAACATAAACCCCATAGCACTTTATCTCATACACCTCAGTACAGTACATCTCCTGTTCCAGACAGTGAATATTATTCTGTCTGCAGTGGTGGTTTAGTAATTCAAAGATGGCACTAGTCACAGCCACAGGAAAAATATCAAGACCATGAGCAAAATTTTAATCTGTTCTGCTGAGATGGTCTATGAATGCTCAAAAATAATATGCATATTATCAGATGACATCTAAATTGCTTCTTGTTTCTTATTTCTTGTCTGATAGAATAACATCAGTAACAAGAAATGTGTTTTTAATATTAATATGATAAAAGAAGCTAAGGCGCAAAAATGGCAAGAAAGGTTTTTATTAGATTTTTGTCTTATTGGCTTCTTTCATTCTTCTATAAAGTCAACCTAGATTTATAATTTGGAGACTGAGATGAGGGAATATTTGCTGGATCATAACACTTCACTGTGGATTTGTTTTCAGTTGGTTTAATATAATGAAATGTCAAAGTCTGCAAAGCTTTGACATAAGTGGATAGTGAGGTCATAATTTTGGTTTCACATTTAGATTTCAGAAATTGTGTTACCTCCAAGCTTGGGCTCACATATCCACAAGACTTAGAAGCACCATGTTGTGACTATTAAAGCTGAGTATTTTCTTTGTGATAAAGCCCCTGCAGAATCCAGTCCTGTGGCTTACCCTGAACCCTGATTACCCAGACAATGGAGAGATTACCAAGAAGAATCACCTTGTAAGGAGCAATACAGTATCTTAAAACAATGTCAGGAGATAATGTGTGCTACTCACTCTAGGACATCTCTGTTGAAGGGCTTCTTACTGTTGCCAAGGAACTCTCCAATCATCTGTCGGCTCAGGCCCTTCCTCTGTAGCAGAAAGTGGGCTACGCCAATGGGCGTGTCCGGGATGAAGCCTCGTGAGATCAGGAACTGGAGGCCCTTGTCAGGGTTTCTGAGTCAAAAAGGGGAAAAAATGAGTCAAAGGAGGGGAAATCTAGCAGTGCTTTAAAGCTCTGTGACTTCAGCATTACAGTACGCCCTGCATTAGACATTCTCAACCAATGGGTCGTGGCCCACTGGTGGGCCTAAGAGCACCATCCGCTGGGCAAAGGAATAATGGGCTACTGCAAAGGGCAAAATTACAATAATAATAATAATAATAATGATAATTTATGAAGCTAGGCATTTACTAAATTTGCTCAAGAATTCATGTAAAAGAAAAATCAAATTAAAATTTGCAATTTCAATAAAGATCACAAGGCAAATTGTGATATGGGGGTGACTATGGGTCAGTGGGTAGAGCAGTCGTCTCCCAACTGGAGGGTTAGTGGTTTGAATCTCAGTGCCTGCAGTTCACGTGACAAAGTGTCCTTGGGCAAGACACTGAACCCCAAAGTTAAGATGACTGCCTCATCTCTGTACCGGAAACAAATTCCTTGTGTGTAACATACTTGGCCAAATAAAGGTGATTATTATTATTTATTGCTATTAGCTAGCTGGCCAGCCAACATTTCCTCTGATGCAGTGACACAAAATGGATCAGTTGAAAAAGTGATGTGGAAGACAACCCCATGCCAGTAAAAGCTCCAAAGTGTGTCCTACATATTGGTGTGATACGGTGTGATAGTGTGACTGCGCAGATGATTTGTTCTTAACATACTTAACCACAGTTAGCAGCAGTAGTAAGTCAATTTGTTTGGTTTAATAGTATCTGGGTGCAGCCAGGGTTTTCTCTAGCATAGAAAGGCTTAGGTGCAACACCTGAGGGGGGCAACAGTGGTGCGGTGGGTAGAGCAGTCATCTCCCAAGCGAAAGGTTGAAGGTTCAACTCTCGGTGCCTGCAGTCCACGTGTCAAAGTGTCCTTGGGCAAGACACTGAACCTCCAAATTGCCTGTGATAGTGGCGCATGTGCACGCAGCACCCTGGGGCCCCTCACCTCCAATCAAAATTTCATTGTATGTGTTACAACAAAATAAAGCTTCTTCTCTAAATGTTTTTGCAGAGTGAGTGCCTAAGCCAAATGAATGTAAAAAAGTGCTTTATCAGAATGAATGTAAAAACAAGGGTGAGTTATATGTGCTGGAAAATAATAGAGAAGTGACTTGATCTCTAAGTGAAATTTAAACTAGCAACAAAAATGACCTGCCAGTCAACAATCAGTGTGTGGATGAATGTTTGCATGACTTGAGGCATTACAAAGCTAACCAAACAGCTGATTGGCTATGTCTCTGTACTGTCAACTCAGGATGGTAGTTAGAGCCATGGATAAGGACCGCCTCCACAAAGACCCTGCTAGTGATAATAAGACAGAAATAAACTGATGTACTGAAGTAACAAGGTTCTTGGTCTGGAAAGCAGTACTTGTAGGTTGGGTGCTTACTGAGCACACCTGCATGATGTGGGTGGAGACTGCTAGAAGGAATGAAACACACAGGGCTAAATCTCACCTGTATTCATTCCCGTCCAACATCCATTAACAGCTATTGAACACCTCACCACTGCTTTGTGGTTTCCTAGTTATGGTATCTAATACTTTGATGAATTGCAGTCACCTTGAATTTGTTGTTTAATAGTGTTTTATGGTTTCACAGCTGCTTCTAGCAAAAGCCTCACAGGCCAGTGTGAGTAGTCTGTTTACCATCTACATGTCTAAACAATGAGGTGTTTTTCTATGCTCATGACTTCATAAAATATAAAATATATGTTTTCCACAAAACATTGTTTTCAAAAACATCCCCTTGCCTATGATCCCATTGGAAAGCAATTTTCAACTGACTGCAGGACAGAAGTCACATATGTATAATAAGCCAGTAAAATCATAACTATTTTTAACACTGTTAGACAGAATAGATGCTCTAGGGAGGCTACCTCATTTCTGCCACAGCTCTCCCTTTCTAGCCCGCATACAGTGTTTAAATCATTGCCTTGATGTAACAGAATGGTGTGTGTGTGTGTGTGTGTGTGTGCGTGTGTGCCACCACTAATGGGTTTAGTAAAGCGAGGGCGGTACAGAGAGGAGGGGAGGATAAAGGGCATGATAGAAAGAGGAGGCTGGAAGAACACCAGAAAGAGCAGATGTGCAGGAATGGGAGAGTGAGGATGATGAGCACAGGCTGGACTGCCTGAAAGCATCTGTTCTGACAGCCTCAACAAACTCTCAGCTTTTAGCCCTTTCAGCTGGAGACGATGTCTCGCCAAATGAATTTGGCAGATTTCACTCATTTGATGTTTGCCCAATAACAGATGGATCACACATGGTGATTATTATTCATATTCAGAACTTGATGGAGGGGAGGATGAGGCAGGAGATGCAAGATGGACAGATTCAAATGAGTGGCGCAATAAAAAAAAAAACCTTTCACATCAGGCAATCTGACACTAAGTATGGCTTGTTTGTTCAAATGATGAAAACAACTCTGACCTCTTGTAGCCATGTATATAATGTCCATAATTTTGAAGGTGGAAACTGTAGCATTGCTATGTTGCAAAAAACTGAAAAGACTTCAGTTTAGTTTGTCTGGCCTTCCTCCTACTGCAAATGCATACATACTTTTAAGCTGTTATGACAGTTATGTTTTAATAGGTTACGTGACTGTCACTTGGATTATGTTCATAGGCAAAGAATAAGATATGTATGCAAATCAGGGTGGAGCAGGTGATGTGGTGCTGAAGTCAGTTCTTAAAAGGCTGAAGTGTGAATAGAGAGCCAGAGTACATCATGTAGAGACACATGCACAAAGCAGGGGGAGGGATGGCAGAGACGGTGTCAGACAGGACTCAGATGCTGTGCTAAAATGGCATCTGCAAAATAAACTGCTACATGCCAACATATCTTTCTCCCTCATACACACACACTTCTCCTGCCTCCTTGCTGCATGCACACATTTGTTTTTGCATCACACTGGACTCTCATCTCATCACAAATGCCACCCTCCTCCACCACCTTAATGTCCATTTTTATTGGCACTCTGTTTTTCCACTAATAGACAGATGTGCACAGTGGCTGTACCTCAGAACCGTGGTTTATGGCACTTACAAGTGCTTAACTGTCAGCACAGCATGTTGCCTAGTTCTCCAGATGCACACATTTCTGTTCCATTACTAAGTGGCGAGAGATTGATGGCCAGTTAGCGCCCCTGACGCTTCACAAGCTTGAGTCATTGCACTGATATGGTCTTTCTGTTGCAAAGTGTTGTTCTTGTCCATCAAGTCTGCTTTTGCTGAGAGGGCAACCGAGGGAAGAAAACAGTTATGACTGCACTTCCTTTCCTTGGTTAAGAGTGTTGGATCCTAACCCTTTCTGTCAGAACCACACTGGAGCCCTATCAGATGAAAAGTTCATCAGTGACTGATGTTCAGATGTATTCATTTGCATTTTAAAATTACTTCAAACTGGATATTGTGACAATATATAATTGAACTCTCTTTGTTTAGATAGGTTTATATTTGTATTACTACCACTTGGAGTACTGGGAAATTTCAACTATTTGTCCATTACTTTTACCAGGCTATTTAAAATATTAAATAATCAGTTTTGCCATTTTATGAACGTACCCATTATTATAAGCTATTTCACCATCTATCCTTTATTTTGATAATTCCACCACCTGTTAATTCATAATTTCTTTGTCTATCTCAACCATGTATCCATTACTTTATCTAATAATTGCTAGGTGTTTGAATGGTTATTCATTTTAGGGTGTTTTTCTTCCTACTCCCAGTCACAGCACATTATTTAGCTTTTAGAAAGTACAAAAATACCCCATGGGGTACAAGTACTGCAGGTTGTGAAACAGTGTTGGCTGTTAAAAACTTTTTAAAAAATTAGGCTGGTATTGTTTTATTGTTCTGATTGTGAAAAGACTGAAATCAAAAATGTGGATGTTACTATCTCTCAGTTCCTAACTACTTGTCTGTGGCAAACCCTGTATTTTCTTACTGAGAATTTGTAGTAAATCTTTAAAGAGAGATCGGAAATATTTGGCTCCATTTTTATTAGCACACTAATTTCCTAAAACAGCTCAGTGTCATTTTAGCAGCCATTACTCAAACAGGAAATAATGCATTTGTTTGGGACAGTGTCCAAATGCAGATTAATGAACATTTACAGTAACAGTATTCACAGTATGTACGATTGACTCTAAATAAATTACAGTACCTGTGTTCATCATAATGAAGTAATGTGAAGGAACAAGCTACTAGGCTAATAGGCTACACACACAGTAGTTGTTACAAGTTACAAGGATAAGTTTGTTCTTGATTTTGTTCTCTTCATGTGCCCAGCCTTACCCTTTAAATAACAAGTACAGATGAGAGTAAACTGGTTTTGGGTTTCGTGAGCATTCAGAAATGTTTCCTCTGTTCACCATCTGGATTTCAGAGGTTGTAATTATGTACCGGGTCATTTAGCACTAAGGGCAGAATGTTAATACAGGGAAGGCTTGTGTATGCATGAACAAGAACAAACTATACATACCAATTTATACACACTAATGTAGAGCTCAGTGCTGACGTCAGGTTCTTCCTCTCAAGAGGCTCAGCAGACTTGGATCTGTGAATCTGCTGTGTTAATTAGCCAACTGACATATGTATTCAGATCTGTTTTTCTCTCATGCACATGCTCTCTTAACACTTACAATAACACCTCTAATATAAATATCTTATGTCATCTTTTCTTTAATTCATAGAGCTCTGGTGGCGCTCCATTTTCATGCATGACATGTTCTACGTACACCGTGACCTGCTCCGATGGCTAATCAATGCCTTCAATACACTAGAATGTATGAGGGAGAAAAGTGAATTAAGGACATGTCCAGCTGAGTAGTATAAAATAGAAAAGTCATGCACACACAAAGAGAAATCTTCTCAGGAATCGGTTGTTCATGTCACACCTCATCGCATGCTTTTCTTTTTGCCTGTTCCCCGTTGACAGTTTGGTACCAGCTCCCTTGTGTGTTGGCATGTTGGCAGTGTCCTTGACTCCCTCCTCACAAAATATAGTCATTGTCATTCCAGCCACACTCAAGGTGGAACCTTATCAAGTGGTCTCTCTTTCTCCACTTTTTCCTCCAACTACCTTTTTGTTTCTCTTTCAGTTCCTCTCTCTCGCTTTTGCACTCAATCATTCGCTCTTCTCTTCTTCATACATACACGCATACACACAGACACACAAAAAAACTTCAGACTTTTCCTGTTTTTTACTTTTTCCCCTTTATCACACCTCCTACTAAAGTGGCACATAGACCACCTGCTGCAAGACTAACACACACTCATACTTACTCCCACATTACTTTACGTGTGTTCGTGCATATGCGTGGGCTTTGTTGTTGGCATGATCAAACAATATCCAAGTTTTGGTCCATAGCAAACAGCTCTATTTAAGATGCAAAGGATACAACAGTGCAGTTAGGGGGGAGGATATGAACTGGTGGAACTAATAAGCCTCAAGCTCGACTGAACGATTCAAACCACCACTGCCACTTTTTTATTTTTATTTATTTATTTTTGTTTTCCCTTCCACATTTTATCTCTCTCTTCCCTTGTAGCCAATTTATTAAAAGTCATCTTATCTTTTAAAGTGTTTGAAGAAGGGGTGTGAGAAGAGGGAACTGCAAATAGGCAGTGAGGGCTAGGAAACCTGTCGTTTTACTTAAAAATTGCATTCTCTGACATCTGCCATTTCTCTATTGTCCTGCTATAATTTATATTATATGCCTTTGGCAGCCATGGCCAAAGTGGAGCGGGCTGAGCACATGCTGTGTCCCCCAGGCCAGAGCACCAAGTATGGCAAACAGACGTGGGGGAGGAAGCAGCCAGCCAGGTCACTGCTAGAAGAGCAGTTGAGTGATGCAGAGAGGAGTGCTACTGCTGTGAGGAACTGGAACACATCGCTTGCAACTACCCAGCCCCTACACCACAAAGCCCAAGACCCCCAGACAGCTTATCTATGCGCAACCTGCCATAGCTGAGGGTTGGCCACCTGGGCCGAACACATAGATTATACCTGGATTGTGAGGTGAATGGCACAAATTCCATGCTTTGGTGGACACAGGGTCCACCATCTCCCTCATGCACCCAGGGGCATTTCCGGGGTCGGAAGGGCCAAGATCCCGGAAGTGGAGGGCCACAAAATGCCGCATCACCACAGTCTCTGATGAGAGTGCGAAGATGTGGGGAGAGAGGGCGCTGTTGTTGAGCATCAGTTTGGGCTGGCCAACATTCAAGGTTCATGTATCATCGGCCTTGACCTGCTTGCCAGAGGTCAGAGTGCTGTTGGTATGTGTGTGTGAATAAAAAGAGAAAAAGACAAGTTCTAGTCTCTCTACCCTTCTTCTAGACCAGCCAACATTACAGTGTTTTGCACTTTTCCTGTGCTGATTTTTCTCTCTGCATCTCCCTCCAGTGTACACTACTTCCTGCTCCTCTTGTGTTCAGTGTCATGCTCCAAAAGTGAGGCAAAGTTAATTGCTCTTCTTGTGCCCTTTTATGAAACTGTAAAGCTTGGCTGTAAACCAAAAGATGTTGTGTGTTTATAAGCTTCAGTCTTATAAATTTGGATGAGGTTGCTTTATTAGGGCAATTTCTTCACTAAATCTTGTAGTGGTTTTGCACCCATGGGAATGCAGTTTTTTTTCACTGCAAGATATTATGGAAAGAGCTTCTACAGAAATGGTTGAGGTGGCAGGGGGAAAAAACCTGCTTGGACTGAAATGTTAACAAATTTTTCATCCCAGTTCCCAAAGTGCCAGTTCACACAGTGCAGAAAAACTTTTAATTACATTCACAGCTCTCAGCAGAATGACTAATGAGAATTTTAGGCTTTGTGGATCGTTGCCATTATTTTTTTTTTTTAGATTCACTCTTCATGTTGTTACCCAGCTAATCCATCAGTGGTTGTACTCAACTTGTAATATGTGAGTGAATCTACTTCATTTATTTGAATATGTTGGGTGCTTAGGCCCTTTAGGGTATGCTGCAGGTGAAAAGCCAATAGAAAATATGGTACAGTAAATCTCCATATTTAATATTTCATTCCTTGTGAACTATTGGTTGCTCAGCACATTTTCAAGAGTCGTGTACAAACATTTTTAAGTTCATCATACGTGTTATGTCACTATGGCTGTGATGCTGTGGGTGGGTCTCGGTGGGCCTGGGCCCTCCAACTTGGAACCCATGTCCACTCAATCACAAAGTTTCCTTTTTAACACATAGGGTTAAAGCTGCTCATCCAATAGCATACAGTCAATTTTGTCGTAAAGTAAAACATTTGTTTTGCCTTTCATCCAAAGATCTTACGAGCCTCCTCTGCACCAAAACTGTAAGCCAACTGTTCACTACATTACACAGTACAGTATCATACATGCTAAGTATAGTGAAACTAAGCATTTCAAATTTTTGCTAAATGACACAATGAGGACTAGGATGAAACTACTGCCGACTGTTTTAAGCAGCAAAGAAGCGAGCATGGTGGCTAGCTCAGACCTAGCAAATGACTAGCCGACAGCATCCACCTCTTCGGGTACTAAGAAGGGATGCACTTCAACAAATCTACACAGCAGATTTAGTCAGTGCTGCCCCCATGCACTGTTGTTACTGGTGATGCTTTTTCTTCCTATCTCTTACTGCCATGTAACCACCTTGCACCTGTCTGAAATGCATCTTGGGAAGTTCTTATCAGGTTTTGACTGTGCCACTCTCCACCAGGCAGTATGAGGAGCTGAATTCAGATAACTGGAAAGCTGCAACCAGCAAACTTAAAACAAGCTTTTCAAGACAGAAAGCATGTATTTCTTCTGCTTACTTTCTGTGAATCCACAGAGGAAAATGCAGTGGAAGTTGGAAGGTGGTAAAATAGTTACCGAGAATGTGGGTTCTTTGACACAATCATGTCATACAAAATACAGTATCATATAAACATAGTAACCAAATTTATGCATGCCAAGCCTGTAAAGCTTTGAATTTCTGGACATGTTTAATAAGTGTTGTCCAGACTATTAAAGTACCCTTCTGTTTTGCCCAAATGATTTACTGCATGTTCATGGTCAACCAGTCTGCAGTGATTGAAAACTAGTTACAGGAAAGCTTGTCCTGATTTTTCAGTCAAATTAGAATAATCTAAACATGAAATCCAAGTGTACTAGTTACTCACACATTGAAGAGATTGAGGCCAATGCGGTAGAGGCGTTTTCGCATGACGTCAGTGGACAGCGTGGGTGATTTACAGCTTGCGGGGTTCTCACAGTGGTAGCGTGGCAGGCTGAGGATCATGGCCTGCAGTGCCTCTTTGGAGGAGGCTTCAGATGTGGACCGTGCCTCTGTTGATGTGCTGCTGCTGCTCATCTGCTCTGAGCTGTTGTCTGCTGTCTCTGAGCTACATCGCTTGACCTCTAGGGGCTCCACCACAGTAGAGCTCCCCAACAGTACAGCCTCCTGTGGTGGAGGGGCATGAGGAGGTTCTGTGGGTGGTGATGTCACAACAATAGTCTCCTTAGGGCTTAGGGGTGCAGCCATCTTATCCAAAGGGGTTAGGGAGGGTTCCTCCTCCTCCCTGAGCTCTTCTTCACTTGGAGGAGGAGCTGGGAATTCAACATCCTGCTCACTTCCTTCTGTCTCTGACTCTGACTCTGGGGGTGGGGGAGGTTCTTGGGGTAGTGGGGGTGGATCTATGGGTTCATCTGGGACCTCTGCAGGTGGAGGAGGAGGTTCTTGTGAGGGGCCAAGTGGGAAAAAGTCTGGTGTGGAGTTTGTTGTTGTGGAGGTGGTTGTGACAGTGGAGGAGGCTCCTTGTTCAATACAGCTGCTGAGAGTGACAGATGTGGATGTCTCCATGACTGAAGATGAAACACGAAAGTTCTGGCTGTCAATCTGCACAGTCACATCCCTAAAGGCCATCATCAGTTTGCTTGCATTTCTCGACAGTTCACTTGGGTCCACTGGGGCTTGATGAGTGGTTGAGTCTTCCACACTACCTCCCTCTCCACCAGCTCCTGCTCCTGCAGCAGCAGCAGCAGCTGCTGCTGCTGCATTGAAGGAGTCAACGCTGAACTGATACGTCCCAGCTTCTTGCAGTGAACACATGGTCTTCAGAGTCCAGTTGCTGAGTGCATCATCTATGGACTTTGCCAGTGACTGGACCTGTTCAGTGAATGAATCTTCCAGGTCAGTCAGGGTGCCACCAACTGTGGCAGGCAGAGATGGTGAGCGCACCAATGGGATGCCTGCCAAGTTACAGCCTTCTGCCAGGGCCCGTTCAGCAGAGAAACCCTCTGTGTTTTGCACACGGACCTTGCGCAGGGAGATGCGTCGAGGAAGACGACTCTCCAGCAATGAATTGCGGATCTTCTCGAAGTTCTTGCTGAGCTGGTACTGGCGGAAGGCAGTCTGGATCTTGCAGGCAGCACGGCGGGAGATGAGGTGACCACCATATTTGTGCTCTAACATTTCGATCTAATAGAGAGATACAAAACAAAAATAACAATTTGGTGTAACTTTTGTATACTTTGGAACATATATATATTTATAAATGATGAAAACTTGCAGAACAAACCAGATATGCTAGAAAAATGCTCACAAGGTCAAAGAGGACTCCTTGACTGTGACTCTCATGATCCCATGTATCATGGATGCTTGTATTTGAGATTAAAGGTGCATGCATGTCATGTCACTCCATTGTTTCCCCATTTGTAATATTCTTGTCTGTGTCTCTGGTATATGAAGGATGAATATTGGGTTTGCAGTGTGAAAAAAAAAAACAAGCGGAGGGCAGTTGAAAAATGATTAAGCTGAACAGTGAAAAAGATCAAATATATACAGTTCCCAGGAGATGAAAGAGGTTGTAAAGCCCAATTTTGGGGAGTAGTAGTCAGTTATTAAAGTACTCTAAATAACACTTTCCTCAGATGGCTCTGTAATTCTGTTTTGCCAGCTGGCCTTGTGATGTGTGTACTGAAAGTATGTACAGTTTGGTCAAAGCCACAGTTTCAAAGAGTGAACAAAGTAAAGCCTGACTCATGACATTTAGACAAACTGTTAATTTCCTCAGCAAATAGAACTCATAATCTCAGCGAATTCCAGAGAGGTCCTCCAAGCATCTTTAAGTTGTCTGAAGCTGAACACGCCATTAATCTTGCCTGTGAAATATTTGCTCAAATGCTGTGGGAAATAGATAGAAATGTAATATAGCCATCCTCATCTGGCAGGAGCTCAAACATGAGATGAAACCTCTTTGAATTTCCCAGAACAGTCAGGGTGTGGGTAACTTTGGAAGTGCCCAGAAAGAGTGCTTATCTTATCAAGTCACTCTGAAATCCTTTTCATTCAGACTAAGTCAGTGAATATAATTCTGCTTATGTTTGAACTTTATCAAGGGCACACATGTAGAGGAGGTTGTACATATACAGTAAAAGAATAGCACACTTGAAAAGATTGTAAGTTTGCTGTGTAGAAATGCACATGAACATAAAATCCTTGCTGCTCCCTCCTTAAGTGCCCTGTTAAGACTTTGAGCTGACTTCTTGTATCAGGGGGAGGTGTACATGAGGATTAATAGGGTCCAAGTAAAATACCCCTTAAATGCAACTGAGCGAATGGTGACTGCGGCCATGAAGGATCAAAATGTGACTTTCAGCCACTAATCTTTCGCTTTAGTTCTGGACAAAATCACCCAACCACTTCAAACGGACTCCTGCAAAGAGGCACTGATGGGCTGTAATGCCTGGAGGGTCTGAAATTTGTGATAAGTGGTTAGTGCAACAAGATGCAGCCTCTCTTTGTCATTGGAGGAAGGGAGTCACACACAAAGCTCTTTAGAAAAGTGGAATGACACTGAAAATCCATCTTATCTACTCAATTTACATTTCACTGCAGAGCCTCTGCGAGCAAAGTGAGACGTACTGAGAATATTAAGGTGGTTTCTGAATAGCATGTGGGTTTGGAGCTCTACTGTATCTGCTGATAGCGACCTCTCAGCAGCTGCCAGCTCTTGCAGACTAGGTAAGCTCAGTCTGAATATTCATCCCTTTTTAATTTGGACTGTTTGGTGACTGTTACGTGTGTAACGACAGGTAGCCTTATCACCATAACTGTGCCCTAAAATAGACCTTGTGTAGTTAAAAAAAAAATTAAGGCAAGCATACAGGTAATATGGTTGACCTTGTTAACTCAGAAAGGTGTGCTTCATCAATAACTAAATTCTGCAAGACTTCCACTGCAGAGGTGCCCTTGGATGTGGCCATCAGCATGGCTGTGTTTGATTAAATGTGGCAGTTGAGCTGGTTTGTTTTGCCTTCTGTGTAAGCCGGGTCGGGGATGATGAATAAAGCATTTGGGTCACGTTGCTTTCTTTATCAGAGTGTGCATCTGATACACTTTGCCACTAAGATGGAATTAGAGCCACAAAGCAAAGCTGGGGACATGATGGATGGAGGAAGGAACCAAGGAGAGGAAGAAATAGTCACGATCTGATACCAATCTAGCTAGGGTTGTGTAAGAGCAAGAGATGTGCCAGTATACTACTTCAGCTAGATAGGTTTCTGGTCTCTATCAACTCTGTCTCTTTAGCTGCTGAATGCTCCACTATGTGCATGAGCCTGTTGCTTCTATGTCTGCCGTTTGGTGCTGTGCAGGTAGTGTACAGTGGATTTTTAGTGCTTTTTATTGAAAACAAGTGTCTGCTGTGACTGAATACCACTTCATGAGAGCAGTGAGGCTGAAATCAAACAGTAAAGTTACTAAACAATGTGCTGAAACTTGCTGTAAAGCTCCAACATGGCTCAGTTCACTGTTCAGTTTGTTTAAATCCAAGGGAATCAAGGTGTGAATCAGTTTTACTATATGCATGTAGTAGTATGTCAGGAAAGCATGATGATTATTATGTTAATGATATTTGTATTTAGTGTTCATTGACACAATTACTGTAACATGAAAATTTAATACTGGCACATCCCTATTTGGGACTTGACCACTACACTTGTAATACATGTAAAAGAGGAAAGGACACCAGCGCACTGACAACACAAAACAAGTGGCTCAGGGTACTGAGGAGAGGGTAAGATACAGAAAGTGGGGGGTGAGGAGGATGATTGTGCCAAGAGTGGCTCTGCTGAAAATCCCCTCCATTAGCCGACTGTCAGTTCTACCTCTGATCACTGTACTAAGTGCTGATGGAGACAGATTATTACAGAGGCACAGTGATTTGAGAGAAAGGCGATGGCGCTGGTCTGTTCCATCAGTTTCCTTATTTAAATGAGGGGGGACAAGGTGGAAAGCAAGCCGGTGCAAAATGGTACAACACTGCAGTATGCGAATAACAAAGTGGAGTAAATATTGACAGGTTTGAGGGTTGAAGGTGGACGTGCAGTATAAGTGGAAATCGCAAGATACTACTGATAGTAAAATGATAGATAAGGGAGGATAAAAGGGACAAAGGGCTTCAATTTGACTATAGAAATTTGAGCTAATGATTATATTGTAATAGATGCTAGAGCTCAAATCCAGTCATTTTAAATATTTTCAAGCTGCAGGAACACCATCTGATTTTGAGCAGATAGTGTGTGTCTGGCTTATATCTTAGCTTGAAATATGGGACTTTCTCTCTATAAAATAATAATACTCACAGGCTTTGGAAAAGGAATGTGCCTTAGTCAGAAAATATTTCTGCTTCAAATCGAAATAAGTCAGTTTAACAATACACAGCATGTTTTTTTGAGAGGCAGATTTTCCTATTTAGTGCCATGATTATTGTCTCTCTTCTGTTGGAGCCTTATAATAAAAAAATAACCATGCCCTGGCTCTAAATGTCTACCTTATAATCTTCTGTTTAGAAACTAATTTGTAAAGGGCAAGCTTGTCATTTTGAAAACCCCATCTACTTACTGTAAGTTAGATGAGTCTATCTCCTTTCAGGATTGAAATAAAAAAAATTGAAACCCATTTGTAGTGAATCTGTTTAGTGTTGTAGTCATACATTAATTTAAAAGCACTGTTCAACATTTTAGAATTTTTTTTTTTTTTTTTTGCTTTTTACGCCACAAATTAGACGAGAAGATGGACACCAATTTCATGTCTGTATAATAAATATAAAGCTATAGAAAGCATGATCGTACCTTAGCTTGACTTTCTGTGAAAATAACTAAATCTGACTGCCAGCATCTCTAAAGATCACTAATTAACAAATTAGTGTACATCTTGTTTGTTTAATCTGCCCCAAATTTAGCATGCACATACTGGACTCTATTAATTTGTACTATCTATCATAGGTTAATCAACTCTAAAATACTAATTCAGGGGGTTTCACCCTGACACGTGCTAGAAAACAGCAGATTATCAGAGGGGCCAAAATGCGCAGCTGCACTTATTAGCTTTCATGCTCATGCATGCTGTCTTACAGCACAGAAACATCTGCATGATTAATAAGATTATTATATAACAGCAAAACTGGGACACAACTAATACTGACTGCACTGCAAAATGTGGATGACAATAAAATAGGTGGAGGTCTGCTTAGCTGATACATCCTTGACCATAAAGTCAGTCACTGTAAAGGTCAGTTGGGATTGAAAGACTAATTGGAATGCAGAAGAAACTCCGAATTAATGAAAACATAGACTGATATTAAGTGGTCTCAGTCAAATCATCTAGAATCTCATCATAATGATGCATCTTTACTGTTCTTGGCTGCAACCTAGTGAGCAATGTCAGCACATGTTAAATTCATACTTTTTTGTTTCGGCAGTTGTAATGTGTAACATGGTCCTTGATATTTCTTGCATGTGCCGTTTACACTTCAGTGTAATAATGAATGAATAGAAGCTGCCAGACTAAACATTTGACTGCTGAATGTTTCACTTTGTGGAGATAAATGCCTTCTGATTCATGGGCACCTCAATTACCAAAGCAGAAATTAGCAGCGATTACAGAGCAGGAGCAGTCATTTCAAGTTAGGTCTCATCACCTATCACTTCATCACCCTGTGAAACAGAAGGCGTTGCATTCTGCATGGATTACTTACTTCTTCAAGACTCTTCATTTGATTAATGTGTTTTTAACAGATTAGACGCTGCTATATAAACAGGAGAAAACACACACTGTTTGTGTTCCTAAGGCTGTGGCTGATTGAGGAAATAGACCCAGTATAAAATCAAAGTGCAGCACAAGAGTCTGAAAAACATGGACTTAAACACTATTTAAAAGGAGGGTTAATTTATTAGCATGTCTTTAGTCAGCGATATCAGTATTGTATATTTTGCACCTTGTGATGCAGAGAGACGTTTTCTATAAACCGTAGGCTTGGAGACATTTACAGGACTTCTGTCTGAATTTTGACCTAAATAGAGCACTGTAGGCATGAGGTATTTGTGTATTTGAACCTGGAAGATTAGTCTGGTTTCCCAGATAAAACAAAACAATGGGATTTTTCCTGAGGCTTTTGGATTACTGCAGATAATAAGCTCTGTGACAAACTAAAGTTTTGTTCAGCATCGTCTCAGGTGAACACCACTTTTATGATATTTGAAGCCTACATGCAATCACCAGAAGTGAAAATCTATTGTTAGCAGATAAAAACGAACTACACCACAGTCCCATAACTTTCATGTCACCATCACTAAGCATCCAACATGTAATTTGATTTACTGCACTTGCCTCATCTACAGTCGCCTTGCTTTGCAAGTGACCTGATCTAGCTAATAATCATGGCTGTGTATTGTAGTATAGACACAAGGAAACTGTAAATTCGGATTAGTGAGTAGATGATTCTCTGTGTTTGGCACGATGACGTTTAATGTCCCAGACAACCTTTGTGGTCCCATTTAGCCACTTGTTAGCAACCATCTTTTTTAAGCTACATAAAAACTTTAAAAATCATAAATGGAGTATTTACTGATTAACTTTATGTCACTGAATAAAATAGATGAAAATCTCTTCATCCTGTGTTAACCACAGACTTTATTCCAGGCAAACAAAGACCCCATCGACTTTGGAGCAAGGTAACTGGAAGTACAGAAATGTTAACTTAGTTCCAGGCTTTAGGACTCACTACTGCCACACTTTATATTACCTCTGGAAGACCTTGTGTTGTGTGTCTAGATGTGTGTTTGTTATTTTCCAAAGCATGCGTTTGTACAATTGTACACTATTGTTTTAATAACTTTAATAATTTCCACATTGAGTTATGCTACCTCTGTCTGTAGGAGGTTGAGCATGAACATCTTTGCTTTTACAGTGTACAAAATGTTCATGCAAAGATTTACCTGAATTCCCATTTAAGGTATTTTAAATTGACTGCCCAACTAAATTAAAAGCAGATTACAAAGAAACAGCAGGGGTTTCTCGAGGTTGAACCCTCAAGATGACGTGAGTTAAAGTTCAAATACTTCATCATGAGGTTGTTCCTTAGCTATCATCCCACAGATCCAATTATCCTGCCATTGATTTGTAGATGCATCAAGCTCCTAGACCCCCAGCTGTACAGACAGAAGATCAATCTAGCGGACCGTGTATCTCCAGCACCATTGACAGGCAGATAGTGAAAGAGGGGGACTTTCACTTGTGAGATTAGAAGAAGATGAGAATGAAGGTGAAAGGTGAGACACGGGTTAGGAGCTGAGGTTAAAAGAACCTTTAGTGTGGAACAGAGAAGTGATGAGTGAGGAAATGAAGTCAAAACTGAGTGGAAATGGAACTGACAGAGAACAAGATTAAAAAAACAACTATCTCACTCAAATGCATTAGTTTCAGTAGCCAGTCGTGGAAAATAGATTCTAGTTTGTTTTGTTTTCATTCACAAACTTTAAAAAGTTATAGCAGTTCAAGTGAACTTCCCAGTCTATGGAGGGTGCCATGATTGTTTTTAATGATTACATTAAGTGTGGTCAAGTGTGTCACACCACACTTACTTATAGTGACAGTGATGGAAGTCAAGACTTCAGGGAGGGAGGTCAGCAACATTTGCCTAATGAAGAAACCCATTAATCCCTATGTATCTGAAAAATATATATTTCCCCTGCATCTAATATTAATTAATAACTGGTTGGTGTATTAAATTGTGAAAAATGCCCATCACAGTTTTTGCAGAGCTCAAGGTGACATCCTGTTTTGTCTCACTAACAGTTGGTAAACCAAAGTTAATCAATTTACAATGTAATGAAACAGTGACAAGCTGCAAATCCAAAGATCTGACATACTGGGATCCACAAATGTTTGACATTGCTGCTTGAAAAATGAGTCCAACAACAAAGATTGAGTATTGCACTTTCATAAAGTTGGGGGTCTCAAAATTAACAGATGAATTGAAGGAGTAAAGGCTGACATGTACTTTGAGTCCCAAAAACACAAAATGCTACCGATTCAAATGAATTGAAGGAGTAAAGGCTGACATATTTTGAGTCCCAAAAACACAAAATGCTACATTTTCCTTAATTCGACTTCATTGTCTTTCACTAGACCATTCCTGTTTCCTAAGTGCACTTCTTTCAAACCTCACATCTGCTATTTATTCTGTTAACAATTTTACATCTCAAACTCAAGACAAAATAATCCAGATGACATCACTGTGACATCACCAGGATCCGCCTCCCAAAATTTTGCTAAACTTTCTCCAGAGCCACAAAATTGCTTATTCCTCACAAGTTGAACTGAAAGTCTGGAGCCTCACCTGGTCGAAGATCCACGGACTGAAGAATGTTGGTTAGATGGATAGTAATGAAAATGGATGAATGTTTGATGGCTCTCCAAATGCAGATGATTATGTAATGCAGATGATTTTTGAGGCCCTGGTGAACAGCATGATAAGAGCACATGACATGAGAACATGGAGGCGCAAGTATAGATATAGTCACAGTTCGTAGACATATCAGATTCAGAACAAATCAGGCTTAACTGGCTGGAACAAGATGCAAGCAGATAAGAGTCACTTGCTTTTATTCTCAATTGAAATAGGAGCTTTTCATCATCCAGTGAGTTATTATAAAGCAGAAGAGAAAAGGCAAATTAAAAGGGTCTTCATTCATGCAAGATAAATGCAACTTGTTTGTATTCATTTGTTGTGTGAAAGTGTATGTATGCATTATTGGCAAAATAATACAGTGCCCTGAACCTAATGTACATCAGTTGCTCTATTCTCAACAAACACAACACAGCAGTAAAACACCAGGGTGATAGTTGGATTATGTTTCAGAAAATAGCTTCCATTCAAATTTTGTGAAAGACAAAACCAAGTAAAGATGTTGATGAAATGATGTCATGGAAATGATAATGGCGGTTTATGATAATGAAGAAAATGAGGCAGATACACTTTGGATAATCCAAAAGAGCCAATAGGGTTCGATATGACAAAGAAAGACAAAAATAAAAAATCTAATCACCAGCTTTTCCTCCAAAACAAATGTGCTCCTCCTCAGACAGAAAGCTAAATGTCAGAAGACAAGGTGTACAATACAGAAACACTGGGTAACTGTACCTTCCACCCTCCCCCACTTAAACAACACCCCAACCCTCACCCCCTCCCCCATCCCCAACACAACCCTACCTGCTTATTTTTGAGGTCAAGCGAGAGCTCATAGTCGGAGGCAGTGGGGTGCGAGCTGGCCCCATTGCGCTGCACCCTCAGGGGCGAGGCCGTGTGATGGAGGCTGGCTCTCCTCCCCACCCCACCTCCTTTTGCTCCTCCCACTTCCTCCTCCTCCTCTTCCTCCTGTGTTGCCTCACCGTCATGCCTCTCAGACTCCTCTCCCTCTTGTTTTCTTTTTGCCTGTGCAACTTCTTCCACCTTTTGGTGCTCTTGCTCCACCATTGTCTGTTCCTCTTTGCAAGGCGAAGAGACCTTAGGGGCATCCTTCCCTGCTTCCTCGCTCGGAGCCTTGACCTGGGGCTGAGGCTCGGGCTCTGGCGCAGGCTGGGATATGGGTTCAGGTTCTGGCTGAGGTTGAGTTGCTGGTTGGAGCTCAGACTGTGGCTGTAGCTGAGGTGGTTGAGTCTGTGGCTGAGTCTCATGGTGCTGTTGCTGGGGTTGTGGTTCTGGTTGTGGCTGTGACTGGGCCTCACTCTGCAGCTCCCCCTCTCCTCCCTTCCCTTCCTCCCCCATTGACGAGTCTGGAGAAAGGTCATCGCTGCAGAAAGGAGGAGAAAATGCAGAGTGAGGTTGCTGCTGCATCCGTGGTGAGCTCTGACCTCTTCTCCAGGCTGCTCACTCTGCTACCAACTGAGCGCAGGGCCAGTTCTTTTGCCTGCTCTGTTCTGTCTGCCTCTCTTGTCTGTCTACACACTGACAGACAATGGACAAAGGAAAATGCACAGCACAGAACAACTAACAAAGCCAAAGTGTACAAGAGTGGAAAAAAGATCAAAAGCAATGATTTATTTTAGCAACGTCTTCAGAAAAAAAAATGTGAAAGGACAAAGTTGACAGCCAACAGTGACAACACGCACCTACACACGCACACAGAGAGACATGGGGGACAGTCATGCAGCTATCACAAATGTCTCCCTTTTAGCCTTTAAGTGGGTTAATGTGGGAGCTTTTGGTAATGTAAATACAGCCAGAGGTGTAACCTGGAGCACAGAGGGGAGGAGAGAGTCCTTGATTTAGTTTGATTTATTTCTGAAGACTCTAAGTTGCCCACAGGAGTGAGTGTGGATGTGTGTGGTTGTCTGTCTCTAAGTGTCAGCTCTGTGATAGACTGGTGACCTGTCCAGGGTGTACCCCGCCTCTTGCCCAATGTCAGCTGGGATGGCGAGCGCTGTTTGCAGTATGGTCCTATCCTACTTGTCAGCTGAGTCTACAGCCACGCTGGCAGCTTCTGCTTCATCAGAAGTCATCAGATGGGATATTCTCTATTATTTCCTGTAACAACCTAACATGCACACAGTGCAATTCTTTCATTTTTTTGCACAGCCATTTCTATAACATCTGTCATGTGTACAAGTGAGTGCAAGACTACACCCTCATGGAGAAACTGTCTGAAAAGGTTAACCATTATTCTAATATCTAATTAATACTGCCTCTCCCTCCTCTCTGTGATGACTAGATTTTATCTTTCCTGCCAAAACAGCTATAACACATTAACTTTCCAACATAGCCAGCGAAGTATCACCATCTCTTAAGCACAGTGGTTCTTTGACCCCACGTGCTAACATCTGTATGCTACATGTCTACCAGGTATGCTTACCATGTCTGTGTTTAGATTTGTTTAGCATGTTACCATTTAACAGAAAGTGCAGTTGACGCAGACAGGACTGTCATTAGTTTTGCAGGTATTTAGTCATAACTCAGAGTTTAGAGAAAAACACATTTGGATGCAGTGCTGGTGCTGAATGAAAAGTATAGGGATCATCAACGTTATTGCAGTTCATTCTGAGGGGGCCATATACTGTGTCTGCACACAATTTCATGACAATCTGCTGGATAGTTGGACTAACCAGTTGTCATAAAGCAATAGTTAAGAACCTATAATGTTTGAAAAGCTAAATGAAAAGTTTGTTATACTGTAGCTAAATATGCGAAGGTCACTAGCAAAACAATAACAGTTTTCACATCTAAAGCCAAGTCCTGGTTGTGTATATGCTTCAGTACTTGCCTCAGACATACAATACCTATAGCTGATATATAGTAAACAGCAGCTTGTTAAGTATCAGCAGATTTTGAGGGAGTTTTGAATCTGAGCCAGGTTTAGATTAGACACTAGTTGGCAGTGTTTGAGATAACAGCTGGACATGTTATTACCAAGATTAAGATAAGAGTTTTTTCTCTCTTATTGGATATGGTGATAAGATTGTTGTCACCTAGCATAACATCAGGACATTGAGGCTGCCATATGCAGAGTGCTGCAGAACAAAGTCAAAATGATTTTCCCCAGAGGGGGAGGAAGCGCCACAACTCTGACAAACCTTTAGCATAAACAGCATAAATCTGTGTATTTACCAAAGTTCCAGACAAGTGAATAGAATCAGAAGAGGTGGAAATGTAACCTCTACACACCCACCTGATTTATGTTTGTATCCGTGGCTAAAAATCTGCCCTTTTACACTATATAAATATTGGTAAGACTACAAGTGTATGTCTCAGTCTCTATGTCTCTATATCTGCATATTTCCTGTTCTGGTTCAGAGTGAGATTAGTGTGGATAAGGAATCAAAGATGCTTCTGCACAGAAGGCTCACTTCTCATTTTGCACATATGGCAGCACACAAGCTTGATGACAACATATCTTTAGCAGTAATATAGCTGGGTGTACCGCTTCTAAAATAGAACTTGTATGAGTAATGAATAATGAATAGAGAAATCAAATCTGCTGCTTTGACACTCAGCTGCAGGTGAACTTTTTCTTGTGTGAAACTAGACCTGCCTGGAAAAACAAAAGACTTGTTTTAGGAGGAGAGGCATTCTGTAGCCAACCATGTCTGCTCACAGTGTTCCAGCTCATTGTGGGGAATATAAACATAGTCTTTCCACTGTGCATTTTGCAGAAGCACCTGTTACAGTGAGAGTTAATCTGACAACCAGTGGGCAATGTGCAACTGGATGTAAGTCATATTCTCATCTCATAAGAGGACCCAAATCACCATGATGCCAATGACATGTAGTCATTGTTAATATATGCATGTGTAAGTTTATGTGCAGCATATGTGTAGATCAGCACAAGTTATTGTAAACAGCTTCACTTTCCTCCAACTCTAAAGTCTGTCACTCATCTCTCTCTGCATATCTACCTCTCATCCTCATTCTTTTCTTCCATTTTGTCAAGCTTCCTCACATCCTCTGTCCACCTTCTCTCTCACACACACACATATGCATACACACAGTCTTCCTGCAACTCTGTCCTCTGCCAGGTAGGGAGATTGAATGGTTCCAGGTGTTAATGTGACTGGCAAGGCGGAGACGAGCTGTGGATGCTGCATCTCTCTCTCTTTTAATTTTTCCATACCTCAGCAGTCTAGACTGATAAGTGTAGCATCCTCCATGTGTTTCAGCCTAGCTATAATTATAGTATCCACCGGCATCTCCGGTGCTCTCTGCCATGATTGCTAACAGGCTGGTAGTAGTAGTAGTAGGATATGAGACAATGTGTTGGTGCCAGTTGGGCAACAACTACTAGACCTACAAAATTTGTACATACAAATTTTTGGCAACAAATTTAGATTTTTAAGTGCACAATTTAGTGGTGCATATAATCGGAAATAAAACACCCCTGTGCAAATATGAGGGAAGGCAAGAACATTTACAATTACTGAACTGAATCTGGATGCATGAGACAGATTTGGCTTTATTTCACTTGCAGCTGCACACAGTATGTCGATACATTGTGAACTCATCTCCAAACTGTTTTATAAAGTACTGTGAACTTTTACCTCTGCAAGTCTCACTTTGGTGGAACTGTCAACAAGTCAAAGACATCTAAAACATGACAAAGTGTCCCAAGGAGTTACAAGCCAAAAAAAGTTTGAAGACATTGGTTTGATCTTAATATAATAATTGATTATAAGAATAATCAATATTATTTTGAATGAAAACATTGACTCTATTATTACTAGTAATTGTAGCTGTCCGACAGAGATGGCAAAAGTACGCACATTTGTTATGCAAGTAGTACTACAAATACCTGTGTAAAAATACTCTGGCAAAAGTAGAAGTACTGACTCTTTAACTGAGTAGAAGTTAAAAAAAATGTACAGGCTCTGAAATGTACTCATTCATTCATTTTCTACCGCTTAGTCCCTGAACGGGGTCACGGAGCCAATCCCGGCCAGCAATCGGGCAAAGGCGGGGGACACCCTGGACAGGTCGCCAATCCATCGCAGGGCTAACACATAGACGAACAACCAGACACACACACTCCTATGGGCAATTTAGAGACACCAATCAACCTAAGCTGCATGTCTTTGGACTGTGGGAGGAAGCCGGAGTACCCGGAGAGAACCCACGTAAGCACGGGGAGAACATGCAAACTCCACACAGAAAGGTCCCAGGTGGGGCCCAAACCCGGAACCTTCGCGCTGTGAGGCAACGGCGCTAACCACTGTGCCACCGTGCTGCCCACTGAAATGTACTCAATGTGTAAAAATAAAGCATAGCCCTTCAGGGGTCATTTCTACCAGCTGTTTCTGTGCAAGTTTAACTGAGCCTCACATCATATTAATATATTTCCAAGATTATTAAACCATTTTAACTTAAAATATAAAAAAAACCCAAATAATTAATATTAACTAACAAGAGCAAACGTCAGATTTAATTAAGCCTTAAAGGCTAATTAAGACTTAAGGTTTTTTCAACAGTCTCTATACAAAGAATAAAACTAACAACAAACTGTCTCTACTCACAGTTAATGTCTGTCGTTTTCTATCTTGGATTAGCTAATTCGTCTGTCCAAAAGACCTCTGTTGTTGTTCAAAAATGATTAAAAACACAGTGAAACACATCGCTGCACTGGCTGACATGTTTCTTTATTACAAAGCACTAGATCAGTGAATATGTTGCCCCCAAAACCTTCAAATGGCCACAACTTTTCTATGGTCTTAGGCAAGATTCAACTGTGCATGTGCGAAAATGCCATCAGGAGCCAGCAGACTGCAAACACGGGACATGTCACCCAGTGCAGTGGCGTGCACATTTAGCAGGAAGTGCTAAATAAAAAAATAATTGATAATTCCCCTCAAATGTATAAAAACTAAAAGGAATGAGCCTGATGTGAAAATGTAAGGAGTAGAAACCATCTTAGGTTTCTTAGGTAGAGTATTTTGGGAAATATGTAATCAATTGCGTACAGTGGCAAATTGTTGTTTTTAACTATATACAGGTTAAATAAACAAGACAAAGCAGGTTAATTGGTGAGCTTTAGAGGTGCTGCTCAGTAACTTTTGTTGCCCTTGCATAGAGCCCAGCCAGCTGCTCCCCCCTTTCCCCAGCTAAGCTAACCTGCTAACCTTATTTGCTTTCTGCTGACAACAGAAAGCAAACAAGCAGATTTCCTAATGGCTTCAAATTGCCACTATTAGGGCTGGAAAGCCTAAAGATTTAAATAATGTTAATTTGAGAATAGTTTAATAGTTCAAGACAGATTTAACTAGTAAAGTGCACAAACAGGGACTACATTTTCATTACAACAACAATCCT